AACCTCCTGACCAACCCCCAACCACACCTACGATGGAAAAAATATAAAAAATCAGATTTTATTAGCCTGAAGGAAAGGCAAAAAGAAAAACGAAATCTTGACAACTGTTTTTATCATTTATAAATTGTGTTCAGATTTCATCGACCTAAAGAAAATGCAAAAACGCACGCAATAATTTCTGCATACGTATATACACGCTCGCACGTAATAACCGCTTGCGAAGAACCCATAAACAAGTCCAATTACTTATACTGCACCGAATAGAATATATACAGCGGACACTGAATCATGTAAGTATGTACAGTGACCTGTTCTTCGCCCATGAGAATCTGAAGTCGGGCCTTTAGTTTAGGTCCGTGACGCCCACCGCTCTTGGAGTTAATAAAAACAACCAACGGAGACTCTGGAATCTGAGGCGGCTCGGCTCCAACCGCACGAGCCTTTTCGAAAAGCTGACTAATAGTATCGGCTTCATCATCCTTGGCTTGAATAGCTTCCTTCATGGCAAGCCTTAAGTACTCCGGCATCATAATTTTCTTCTTCAGCTCCTCTTTATGGATCATAACGCCGGAAAAAGTGCAGTTGCGTAAGGAGTCGATAATGGAGGACCGACCTGATGCGGTTGATGACCCGCCTCGGGCGGGCGCTACCAGGGAACTCATTTGTGTATTATTGAATTTAACCTTGCTATTACGAATTGCGTGGTGTAGTGTTTGGAGGTGTTTTTAGTAAGTTTCAACTAGTGGCCGGCAGTCGGCGGTGGTGACAGCGAAGAAGGGAAAAATGTGTGGGGATGGAGGGAGAGGATACTGGGGCTATTATGAGTTTTGAAATATAACTTTTTTTATGGTAGTGGGGGTCTCAAATAAGACGCGTAAAAAACACTTGAGGTCACCCAATTTTGAGCCCAGTTTAATTTCAGTCCATTTAACTTTTTTCTTTCAAACCGATTATTGAGGTTTTAATTTTATTTCTGTTTGATACCAATACCGATTCTTTAAACAAAATGTAAGGTACCTTTTCACACGGTGACATATTTTCTTATGTAAGCAATTTAATGATTCTCATTATGGATACATTACTTCTGGTTAAATTGGACATCGACTCAAACAAAAGCAATGGTCAAATGGCCAAACTAGAGTCAAAACCTACTTTAACGAAGTAACTAGATGAAATTAGAACAAAAATCAAGGTTGAATGGTTGGTTTTGGATGGTTTGATTGTGAGGAAATAACACCATCACCTGTTTTTTAACTTCTCATTTCAACAATCAGGTATGAAGATTTTTCTTTCAAAAAATCGATCATCAACTCATTCAAAAATTTAGCTTCGATCTCTCTCTTTCTCTACATCATAGATTCGTGTAGCTACTATCATCAACTCTCACCACCGTCATCAAAAATCAACTACTTGACTACCATCTACACCCCACATCACATCACACCACCTCTACTTATCATTTAATCAATTTCACCCTATTTTTCATATCTAAACTCTACCTTCCACCTTCATCAATCACTGGTTTGTCGCCACTACCACTCTCACCATTGCCTACGAAGGGCCCCAACAACATAGCGAGCGACAAAAGTGGTGTGAACCTTTGGGTAATGGTTGGAGGGTTGGTTAGCAAGCAAATTTTCAATTGAAATTATGTTGTACACATATTTTGCGTTCGTGTATTGCAGCGGTCAACCGTGCCCTGACGGTGGCTGTTACTCATGGAATTTACAGAGATCTGTAGATTTTCTGATTGGTTTTTTAGGGAAGAAAAGTGAAGTTTTCAAATGAAATGGTTAGGGTTGATGAGTAGGTGGTGTTCATATCGTAGTGCTGTGGTGTTTTGTACAAGTAGTGTTGGAGGTGGTGTGTGGGGACGGAGGTGGAATGGAGGTGAAGTCATGTGGTTGTGGATTGATGTGGGGTGGTGGTGGATTATGTATTCAAGGTGGCGAAAACGATTTGGTGGTGTCGATTGTGGTGGAGTGAGGTAGGGTGGGGTGAATAGTCACTATGACCAATTAATTGAATAATTGTGATCAATTAATTGAGTAATTTGTAACCAATTTGCGACTAAAATACATGATTGTAACCAACAAATTGTCTTGTGACTGTGACTTTTTGTGATTTGTGACTAATAAATGATTGTTACCATAAATATATATTTATTGTGACCATGACTAATTTGATTAAATATAGGTCTCAAAATTTTGTCTGATATCACGGATTGTAATCACTTGATTTTTTGAAAAATTTCATCAAGTTTCTTAATTTTTTAAGGTACAGTAGTTATTTATTTTTCCTTTTGAAGATTTATATACATAAACGAATTTCATTTCTTACCCTACAATGAAATTGTATTTTATACGATGTTCTAATAAACTTATCTAACCTTTGTCTAGACATGAACCTTGGTTTTATCGTCTAGCCACATTTTGTCCTCTTTTTACGCATAGGTCCATTTAGACTCATAAAATCTCGAAACTTAATTTTTTCACTCAACCACGCTATATGCCAAACTAGCCAATCATGTCCCAATTTTAACAATATTGATTTACATAGCTTACAACTGTGCTTATAAACTCATATCAATTGGCACAACTATTTTATTAGGACAATGGCATAATAAACTAATGTCAATAAGGCCCTATTTGATATCATGCATTTTCCATAGAAAATAGAATTCAAATTCCATTTTCCATGTTTGGCAGTGTTTGATGTGCATAATTTGCCATGGAAATTGACTCAAACATTTTCCTTCTACGCGCCAAGTTCCATGCGTGGCTGGAAAGGATTTTCTCACCTTTTAGGTGGAAAAATAAATCATGAGTTTTTTTTTTTTTTGGCAATGAAAATAAATTTCATAATCAATTGTAAAAAAATTTTCACTTTAATAGACAATTGTTTTGCAAACGAAGGCCAAACGAACACTAAAATTTGATTAAAAAAATGATTTTTTGGAAATATTTTTTTTTTTTTTTTACTTTTTGGCAATGGAAACAAATTTTATAACCAAGTATGGAAAAAATTATCACTTTAATGGACAATTTTGATACAAACGAACACAAAATTTAAAAATTTTTCAGGTAAAAAATTATACAAATCAAACACACTTAATTAACAATTCCCTACAAAACAATTTATAGGCAATTATTTTCCCTGGAAATCATTTTCTTTCCACCCATTTTCCACCCTTACAATCAAACGCACCCTAAGAGTTCATACAAGAAAAATGACCTTAAATTTTACAATTGAATAATTAATAGTGACCAAAACGAAACCAAAATTGATGAATGTAGAATAAAAAAAATTAGATGAACTAAAATGAAATTATTCTCAAAATTGAGTGACCAATGAGACTGGTCTGCGTAGTGTATTCAACCATTGCATTTCTCCGCAAGTTTAGAAATGTCAGTTTTTTTCTTCTCTGCACGGCGCGGTACTCGTTTGACTATTCTTAAGACTCGTTTTTAAATAAAGCAATTTTTAAGTACATTGCTCAGCATTCTAAGGAATCTAAGCTCTAGAAGAAAAGTTACTTTACACGATTTCATCATTTCCAAATAATTTATAACATTTCTAAGCTTCTATTTGAATCACATTCTTTTTCTCATTTTCAACAATACATTCTTCAATAAAATAATATTTTCCATTACATCAATAACTTTTCATTTTTTTCAACCACATATTTTCCATCACATCAACAGTAAAATGCGTTCTTACTCTCAAAACGTGTATCAAACGGATACTTAAATTTTATGTTAAAAAGATACTTAGTCCATGTTTGGTTGTGATTAAAATTTAGATTTTGATTTAACTCAAAATTAACAATTAATTTTAACAACATATTTTATGAAAATCAAAATTTTCAACCACACATTTCATCAGTATTTTTTTTCGTTTTTTTTTTTTACTTTTTGGAAATAGAAACAAATTTTATAACTAATTGTAGAAATAATTATCACTTTAATGGACAATTTCCATATAAAACAAAGTCAAACGAACACAAAATTTAAAAATTTTCCAGGTGAAAAATTATACAAATCAAACACATTTAATTAACAATTTCCTGAAAAACAATTTCTAGGCAATTATTTTCCGTGGAAATCATTTTCTTTCCACCCATTTTCCACCCTTACAATCAAACGCACCGTAAGAGTTCATACAAGAAAAATGACCTTAAATTTTACAATTAAATAATTAATAGTGACCAAAATGAAACCAAAATTGATGAATGTAGAATTAAAAAAATTAGATGAACTAAAATGAAATTATTCTCAAAATTGAGTGACCAATGAGACTGGTCTGCGTAGTGTATTCAACCATTGCATTTCTCCGCAAGTTTAGAAATGTCAGTTTTTTTCTTCTCTGCACGGCGCGGTACTCGTTTGACTATTCTTAAGACTCGTTTTTAAATAAAGCAATTTTTAAGTACATTGCTCAGCATTCTAAGGAATCTAAGCTCTAGAAGAAAGGTTACTTTACATGTAATTTCCAAATAATTTATAACATTTCTAAGCTTCTATCTTACTCACATTATTTTTCTCATTCTTATTCTTTTACTCGTTATCAACAACACATTCTTCAATAAAAATAATATTTTTCATCACATCAATAACTTTTCATTTTTTTTCAACCACATATTTTCCATCACATCAACAGTAAAATGCATTCTTACTCCCAAAACGTGTATCAAACAGATACTTAAATTTTATGTTAAAAAGATACTTAATCCATGTTTGGTTGTGATTAAAATTTAGATTTTGATTTAACTCAAAATCAACAATTAATTTTAACCACATATTTTATGAAAATCAAAATTTTCAACCACACATTTCATTAGTTTTTATCAAAATCTACTAAAAAATTAATTTTAATCTCACTTATATTAATAATAAAATAACGTCTTTTCTAATTTTTATTAGTAAAAAAAAAAGGAAGAAATCATTTACATTTAACTAAACTTTTCAAGTTTAGGTGGACATGGTGAGATTTCTACTTGTAAATTTTAGGATTATAATTTATTAAGTATCATAAAAATTGACATCGAATTGACCATTTTGCACTTTCTAGTGGTTGAGGTCATATATCAATCTCCATTTACTACGATATCAATAGTTCTAAGCTCATTTCTACATCACTAGAAGTTTCACTAGTGTTCTCGTGTTTAATTTTGATTTTATGTGTGGTTAAAATCAATTGTTAATTTTAACTTGAGATTTTAATCCAAACCAAACAGGGGTTATATGTCCATGAGCAAAATTATTTTATTAGAAAAATGGAGTAGTTAAAAATGAATTTTAGGAAAAATGAAAAACAAAAATAGATTCATACATATAATTTTTTTATATTTTTCTCTTGTAAAAATATATTTAAAAAGTATCTATAGACTATACTCAGAAAATGACACGACAAAATACAACGCGACTGAATATGACTTGATGTTCACCACGTAGTCATCAGGTCCAAACTCCAAACCAATTTCACAACATGTTTAAGAATTGGTTATATTTGTTTTAAATATAAATGAGTGATGAATAAATTAGTAGCACTTGTGAATCTGTCGGTTAGAGTAACAAGTGTTTTTGAATTATGGCTTTTATTTAGGGTTTATCTAATTAATGACTAATTGTATTGGTAGAAAGAATTAATGCAAATAAATGCA